TAGATTGTGACTGTTCCATTCTGGAAATGTTCTTTGTTAGATTTGCTTAAGATGAATTTTCATTGCTTGTGGGATTTTATGTCCCTAAAGAGTTCTCAAGAAATGAATGAGATGTATCTCTTTGCACTTGCTCTCCTTTCAGCCCTCTTTCCTCCATAAAGAAAAAAAATTGAGCAAATATCGTTTTCGTAAGAAAAGGATTGAAGCAAACCTTTAGCCCTGCTTGCCTTTATAAGTCATCTCTCTTTTTACAGCTTCATTGACTCCTATTCGATTCCACGCATTAGCCTATTTCAGAAGAACCTTTATTTTCTCTATTGGTTCCTCTGGATTATTTTTTTTTTTTTTATGTTAAAAGAAAAATCTATTCACAACAGTTCAGTGCTTGTTAAAAAAACAAGATTTAGCTCACAAGTCATAGTTTGCCAACTCCTCTCTGCATTTATATTAATTAAAAAAATATATTTTTTGCTTCCAAGGTGAAACAAATGCTCAGATGTCAGAATGACTGAAGAATTGTCAGGAAGAGGGATGAGCTGATTCGATACCAAAGAGGAGATTTCCTCTCTTTTGTCGCAGATTGTAGACCCTTCAGCCATAAATTAAAGAAGTAGGTCTATTCATTCATTCAACAGATATTTGTTAAGCACTGACATAGTATCTTTACACCATACTAAGTGCTAGATAATAGTAAGCAAAAATAAACATGATCCCTGCCCTTTTAAAATGCCCTGATTGCTGTTTTAATCATCTTTATTTCATACAATATATCCATGAATAAGTACTTTCAAGTCACTATTTCTCTTTGTAAAATGGGGTTAGACATTCCTCAGAAAGTGGTAATAAATTATTGACTCATGCCCATTGTCCTCTGAAACCCTTCATAGGCTTGTATTTGAAATGCCCATCTTATTTAGTTTGAAAGTTAGCTTTTTATAGGCTCTAAGATGATATCCTAGAGAGAAATTCTTCACATGTCTTTATAAAAGAAAATAAGCTATATTATGCCAGGTGCGGTGGCTCACGCCTATAATCCCAGCACTTTGGGAGGCCGAGGCAGGCGGATCACAAGGTCAGGAGATCGAGACCATCCTGGTGAACACGGTGAAACCCGTCTCTACTAAAAATAGAAAGAAATTAGCCAGGCATGGTGATGGCGCCTGTAGTCCCAGCCTTCTGGGAGGCTGAGGCAAGACAATGGCGTGAACCTGGGAGGCAGCGAGCTTGCAGTAAGCCGAATCACACCACTGCACTCCAGCCTGGGTGACAGAGCGAGACTCTGTCTCAAAAAAAAAGAAAAAGAAAGTAACTTATTTTACTTGGAAAGGCTTCACATGTCTTTTTTAATGTGTGTTAGCATGTGATTGAGAAGGAAAACTAAAACTTCACCTGCAAGCTCCCAAAGATGCCAAACGACAGCTGACAATGGAGGTAATGAAATCTTTATCTTGTATAATTCAGGAGGGGAAAGAATGACTAGTTTCTTTCATCTTCATGAATAAGAATTTAAAGAAGGGGAATTACCAAATTAAAAAGCAACAGCAAGGTTAGATGAAATTATGAGATCTAAGACAAAACATTTTGGCTGGGTGTGGTGGCTCACGCCTGTAATCTCAGCACTTTGGGAGGCCGAGGTGGGTGGATCACTTGAGGTCAGGAGTTCAAGACCAGCCTGGCCAACATGGTGAAACCCTGTTGCTACTAAAAATACAAAAATCAGCTGTGGCAGGCCTCTGTAATCCCAGCTACCCAGGAGGCTGAGGCAGGAGAATCCTGGAACCTAGGAGGTAGAGATTGCAGTGGAACAAAGCAAGACTTCGTCTAAATAAATAAATAAAGCATTTTAAAAGTCCTGTCTCTAAAACTAGTAACGTGGCAACATGCTTCTTGATTAATAGGGAAAACTTCAACTTTATAAGATTCTTTAGGAGTATATCACTCTTTTACCTGTCGACCTAAACTAGCTCAACAGTTTTTAAAATAAGATAATTTCTAGTAGTAAATCTTTTTGCAAGTATGTCAGGAGAAGTAGCAAAAAAATCTCTTACTTTCTATCTACATAAAATTTTATTTATTAAATATAACTTAGTGATTCTTTAGCATGCATTAGTATCACCTGGGGCCAGGCACAGTAGCTCATGCCTGTAATCCCAGCACTTTGGGAGGCCCAGGTGGGAGGATGGCTTGAGCCCAGGAATTTGAGACCAGCCTGTCCAACATAAGGAAACCTTGTCTCTACAAAAAAATTTAAAAATTAGCTAGGTGTAGTGGTGCATGCCTGTGGTCCCCGCTGTTTGAGAGACTGAGGTAGAAGGATCGCTTAAGCCCAGAAGATTGAGGCTGCAGTGAGCCATAATCACACCACTGCACTCAACCCTGGGCAGCAGAGTGATACCTTGTAGGAGGGAAGGGGAGAGAATCACCTGGGAGAGCAAGTTTTAAATGGCGATTTCCAGGCACCATCCCAAGAGCTTCTACTTCAAGTGGTCTGGTGTGAGAGCCTAGAATCTGCATTTTTTTAGTAAGCATCTTCAACCCTGGTGATTCTGATGAGCTGGGGCATATACTGCACTTGAAGAAATTTTACAGTTAAAATATACTCTGAAAATTATGTACTCTTTTATCAGATATGTATGTCTAGTTGTAAAGAAGATTCTGAAACCAGGGTCGAAAACTACCTGTTTAGGAGTATTGAGGACCGTGACATTGTATATAATACTTTGTAGACTCTTGATCTTGTCACTTACAGACTTCAGAGTGATTTTTTTTAAAAGATTAGTATTATACTAAACCTAACTTGACTACAGCTGTTATACTTCCTCTGTTAAGGGTATGAAGCATTCAATATTAAATTAACAGTTCTGGTAGTCTAGCTACGTTTCAGACTTTCAGGAAGTCACATTCATGTGTAATTTTGGCCAAGACACCTCTCCCTAATTCTGGTAGCTCAAAATATATATACTCTTCTTGCTTAGTTTGTTTTAGTCTTTGTATTGAAGTTATATTCATAAAGTTAGCTAGCCCTCTGGATAAAATTAATCCTTATCCCAAAAGGTTTTGGGGGTTTTTTCCTTAATGTTGTTTTGGGAAGGCAATAAAGTACACTACCATCCTTTCTTTTAGCTGCACGAGTTACAAGACAGGAATATGGAGTGTCTAGGAATGTTACATGAATCTCAAGAAGAAATAAAGGAACTTCGTAGTAGATCTGGCCCTGCCGCTCATCTCTACTTCTCCCAATCATATGGAGCTTTTACTGGGGTAAGTAACTAAGAAAGATGCTACGTATTTAATGAAATTTGTTTAAGATTAGTTTGTCCTAAAAGTGATATGGTTTATGATGACATAAAGCATCTTGAGAAGAGATTATATGGTTTGTCCTTGTTTCTGGACTCCAATTATTGATTTAGGTCCTAATTTGTATATTGACATCTTCCCTAATACTCTTACTTATTCTAACCGGTGACTTTACAGATATATTGTATCAATAATACGTAAGATGAGCCCTAACGAAATTCAGTTGATGGCTGTGTACCATAGAACTAGTTAAACTTGGATCATCCTACCCTATGCCCACGACCTGCCGCTTACTTAAATGGTGCTTTGAATATCTAAAACCTCTTTCAATAAATCTTGAGTCTCCTGATTTTTTTTTTTTTTTTTTTTTGAGTTGGAGTCTCACTCTGTCACCCAGGCTGGAGTGGCGTGATCCCGGCTCACTGCAAGCTCCGCCTCCCAGGTTCACGCCATTCTCCTGCCTCAGCCTCCCAAGTAGCTGGGACTATAGGCACCCGCCACCTCGCCCAGCTAATTTTTGTATTTTTAGTAGAGATGGGGTTTCACCGTGTTAGCCAGGATGGTCTCGATCTCCTGACGTCGTGATCCGCCTGCCTTGGCCTCCTAAAGTGCTGGGATTACAGGCATGAGCCACCATGCCTGGCCGTCTCCTGATATTTTTAACTTATTAGAATGTAGGCTTTATGAGAACAAGATTCATTTTTGTTTAATTCATTTATAAGCGGTAATTTTTGGATTAAGAATATTAATAAAAACTTCTGAGTTTATGTTAGAATTTGTAATGTTAGTTCAAAAGAGTTATTTTAACAATCTGATTCTTCTGTGCAATCCTGTGAACTTTTTCAAAAGACTGAAACTATAAATTTTAGTAGATTTTCTTAAAAATAGGGAGGCATAATTTTGTTTTTTACGTTTGAAATAATTTTAAAGTTAGAATAAAGTTCCAAGAATAGTATAAAGAACTTTTGTATATCCCTCACATCGATTCTTCAGCTTTTAACATGTTATTGCTTTTTCCATATCATTCAATCTCTCTCTCTCTTTCTTTTCCCACTGGGCTATTTTAACAGTAAGTTGCTGATATACCCTATTACCCCATAGTACTTAAGTGTGTATTTACTAAAAACAAGGACATTTGGACACTCTTAAGGACACTGTCCTACATAAACACACTACAACCATCAGCTTCAGGAAGTTGGTGTTTATCCAGTAGTATCATCTAATCCACAGAGCCCATTCGAATTTTTCCAGTTGTCTCACTATTGTCCTTTAAAGGATACTTTGAATTTTGTTATTTCCATCTGGGACAGTTCTTCTGTCTTTATTTCTCTTTCATGGACTTTGTAGGATGTCCTCAGTTTAGGATTGTCTCATGCATCCTCGTGATTAGATTCCGGTAATGCATTCTTGGCAGAAATAATGCCATATTCTCAGAGCATGGTTTCAAGAGGTGCATAATGGCTGTTTAGCCCATTACAGGTGGTATTAATTAACTTTGGTCTCTTGGCTAAGGTAATCTGCTGGTTTTTTCCACTGTAAAGTTAATGGTAATTAACAGTTAATTAAATTAACACTACTAATTCACCGTGTAGTGATGAAAATTGGCAGATACTACCCCAACCAAGTGATCAAAGTAAACATTTTATGAGAGATAATTTGAGACTAAGTATCCTATTCCTCATCAAGCTATTACTCACTAGTTTTAGCACCCATTGATGGTTCTTATCTGGCAGAGTTATTGCAGTGATGACTGCCAAACGGTTATTTTCAAATTTCATCATTTTTCAGCATTTATTAATTGACATTTTTCTTTTGTAAGTTAGCACATTTCTGTTCCATTTATTTGTTCATTTGTTCACTTAGGTATGTCATGGACTTAAGGATTTCTATTTTATTCAATAGATTACAAGCTATGATTATTATTATCTATTTTGATATTCAGATTGTCCTAGATATGGTCAGTAGGGTCTCCTTTAAGCTCATCTTGTACTTTTGTCCCAGCCCTGGAATCAGCCATTTCTCCAAAGAGCTCTGGTTGCTTTTATTGAAGAATGGTATTTTGAATCCAAGATCTGGGTGCTAGGTGTGCCCATTGATTGCCACTAGAGTATTGTGGCTTCTAGGTCCTCTCAACAGATAGAACTAGGAAATATATGTATTTCATACCTATACCTATACTATATATATATATGTTTTCATCCATATGTGTATATATAAAATCATGAGTTCACACCATTGCCTCCAATTCCAGTCATCCTCAGCTTAGCCCCACTGAGCCATGTCACTCATATTAGTTGAATCCTCATCCCTGACCAGGGGAAGAGGAAGCTTGCTTATTTTTTTAAATGATTTTTGAATATTATAAAAGCTATACATATTTATTACAGAAAAGTTGGAAATTACAGAAAAGCAAAAAGGAATTGTTAAATCCCATTAAATCCCACCCTCCACAGAATCACTGTCAACACTGGATTTAGTCCTCATCCCTGACCGGGGGAAGAGGAAGCTTGCTTGCTTTTTTAAGTTATTTTTTAATATTATAAAAGCTATACATGTTTAATATTATAAAAGCTATACATGTTTTTGTTGGTTTTATTGTTTTTGTTTTTGTTTTTTTTTTTTGAGATGGAGTCTCGCTCTGTCGCCCAGACTGGAGTGCAGTGGTGCCATCTCGGCTAACTGTAAGCTCCGCCTTCCGGTTCACGCCATTCTCCTGCCTCAGCCTCCTTAGTAGCTGGGACTACAAGCGCCCACTACCACGCCTGGCTAATTTTTTCTTTTTTTTTTTTTTTTCTGTATTTTTAGTAGAGATGGGATTTCACCGTGTTAGCCAGGATGGTCTTGATCTCCTGACCTCGTGATCTGCCCGCCTCGGCCTCCCAAAGTGCTGGGATTACAGGCATGAGCCACGGTGCCCAGCCAACTATACATGTTTATTATAGAAAAGCTAGAAATTACAGAAAAGCAAAAAGAAATTGTTAAATACCATTAAATCCCACCCTCTACAGAATCACTGTCAACACTGGGTTTACAGCCTTTCAGACTTTTTGTTTTTTTGTGCCTGCACATATATTTTCTATTTATCATATTAGCTTTTCCACTACTTTCCTATTTGAAAAAATTATGAAAAGGTAGTTGAGTCTTATTTAAAAGTTATATTTCCAGAATGTCTTTTTTCCCCTGAATGTTAGCCTTGACTATTTCCTTGTATTTTATTATAACACCAAAGTATAGGGTTGTAGAGACGGTTCATTTAAGGGCAACAATCACTTTAGAAATCTCAAACTCTTTTTCTCAGGAATCCTTGGCAGCTGAAATTGAGGGGACTATGCGTAAAAAGCTGAGTTTGGATGAGGAATCTTCTCTCTTTAAACAAAAGTAAGTACAGATCACATGTGTTGTTACTCAATTATTGGAATAGAAATTAAAAAGAAGCCACAATCCAAAGTGGTATTATGAGATTCAGTAGTAATTTGCTTACTGTTCAGTGTTTTCCTCACAGTGTCCTCATTTGTGAGAGAGTTCTCTTGTTTGAAAGCTTCTTTTCTTCTTTTTTTTTTTTATTATACTTTAAGTTCTAGGGTACATGTGCACAACGTGCAGGTTTGTTACATATGTATATATGTGCCATGTTGGTGTGCTGCACCCTGCTATCCCTTGCCCTTCCCCGACCCACAGGCCCTTGGAGGTGATGTTCCCCTTCCTGTGTCCAAAGTTTCATATTGTTCCATTCCAGCTGATGAGTAAGAACATACAGGTTGGTTTTTTGGTCCTTGCGATAGTTGCTGAGAATGATTGGTTTGCCAGCCTTCATCCCTACAAAGGACATGAGCTCATCCTTGTTTGTGGCTGCATAGTATTCCATGGTGTGTATGTGCCACATTTTCTTAATCCAGTCTGTCACTGATGGACATTCGGGTTGGTTCCAAGTCTTTGCTATTGTGAATAGTGCCACAGTAAACATACGTGTGCATGTGCATGTGTCTTTTTAGCAGCATGATTTATAATCCTTTGGGTATATACCCAGTAATGGGATGGCTGGGTCAATTGGTATTTCTAGTTCTAGATCCTTGAGGAGTTGCCACACTGTCTTCCCCAATGTTTGAACTAGTTTACAGTCCCACCAACAGTGTAAAAGTGTTCCTATTTCTCCACATCCTCTCCAGCACTTGTTGTTTCCTGACTTTTTAATGATCACCGTTCTAACTGTTGTGTGATGGTATCTCATTGTGGTTTTGATTTGCATTTCTCTGCACAGCAGAGAAGCTACCATCAGAGTGAACAGGCCACCTACAGAATGGGAGAAAATTTTTGCAATCTACTCATCTGACAAAGGGCTAATATCCAGAATCTACAAAGAGCTCAAACAAATTTACAAGAAAAAAACAACTCCATCAAAAAGTGGGCGAAGGTTATCAACAGACACTTCTCAAAAGAAAACATTTATGCAGCTGAAAGCTTATTTTCTGATGATTTCTCCTAAACTATAGAAACTCCTCAGGGTGGCTTTATTTCTGATGGACTGCACATCCATGCCTCTTCTCTAGATGCTTTAGTGGCTAGCAGTGATAATAATGAACACTTCCTTTTTTGACAGAGCCCAACAGAAGCGGGTGTTTGATACCGTCAGGATTGCCAATGACACACGGGGCCGCTCTATCTCGTTCCCAGCTCTGTTACCCATTCCAGGCTCCAACCGTTCAAGTGTCATCATGACAGCAAAACCTTTTGAGTCTGGTCTTCAGCAAACAGAGGACAAATCACTCCTGAACCAGGGGAGCAGCTCAGAGGAAGTTGCAGGGTAGGAATCCAATGATAACAGTGATTCTGCATTTCTTTTCACATTGCCTCACCAGATTCACATACGCACATTCCAGCATTACTCTACTGTCCCAAGAAGGTTCTGGAACTGTCAGTTTTCCTTCACTTATGATGCCTTGTATTATTATTTGTGGGACAGATCATGCCAAAGTCAAATTTTTTTTATCTATTTGGTCACTAGCATGAATACATCGGATGACACCTTCTCATAATCCATGCTCATAATCTCAACCATTTTGGTGATTTTCAGGATAAATGTAAGTTTGAATACATCTTGAGGACCATCAAGGTGCTGTCAATTTTCTGTTTATTTAAACTTAGATTTTTTTTTTCATTCTTTTTATTAATACATTGAATTCTATATAGCTAGATGGTAAACAACTTTACTGAAAAGTGAGCTGAAAGCTTTGAAAGATAGATGTTTGGCACCAAAGGGAAATGTTTCCTAACATGGGAATTCATCACACTAGGTTTCAGTTGCATTGCCTGGTCTGTTCTGGGCAGTGTTCTGCACCCACAGTAGCTTTGTGTCCTACTGCCTCACTGTTACACAATTATCTTAGGAGAAGATCTTAAACACATTTATGTGGATTTATACCCAAGTAGCCCAGAGTACCCACAACTCAGCTTGCCAGTCTTCCATTTGATATCAATTATAAGATAGCTTCCAGTTTCAAAAGTGTTGAAGTGAAAAAATGGGCATCAGTGAACTATAAAAATGCAGTATTATGTACAAATTTTGTTGTTTTCTTTTAAATGTTCTGCAGTGTTGATGGGTGATTCTGTGGCCCAAAGAAAATTTTTTTCATATTTTAATATTTTTAAAATGGTTATCTTTTATGACTAATAGTATGCCTTAGTTTAATGGGTAGCATTTTTTTCCTTCTTTATGATACATAAAATAATAGTACCTCTTGCAATCCATGATACAGATTCAGCAAAATATAATATTTACTTTTGTGACCACCTAATAAGAATTTGTAGATGGTTGAATGTGTAGTTTCATAAATTAAATGAAGTAGAAAATTCAGAAAGCACAGAATATCAATAAAGTATTATCTTGCCTTTCAAGTCATTTGAAATGATCTGTAAAAATGATGTATAGTGTTGTTGGTAATTTTGATTTGTTGTTATTACTTCTATGTTCCAGGTATCTAGGAAAATACCATGTTTTTAAGATCAGTCTCTTGAATGCTCTCCATTATAGAAGGGAGAGGTCTGGGTCGTGCTGATGATCCTCAAGATCTAATCAGTGAACGCAATTTTCCTATAGGAGCTCCCAGCAGATGGGCCAACCAGGACCCTCTGGAGACAGTGATTTGGCTACAGCACTGCATCGCCTTAACTTGCGTCGACAGAACTATTTAAGTGAGAAGCAGTTCTTCGCTGAAGAATGGCAGCGGAAGATCCAGGTTCTGGCTGACCAGAAGGAAGGGGTTAGTGACTGTGTCACCCCGACAGAGAGCCTTGTCTCTCTCTGCACCAACCAGTCAGAGATCACAGACCTCAGCAGCGCCAGTTGCCTTCGAGGTTTTATGCCAGAAAAATTACAAATTGTCAAGCCCCTTGAAGGTAATAAATCAGTAGCGCCCTTACTAAGCCACGTGACTTACTGGAAGTTCCTTTCCCTGGAATTGAGATTTGTGTCTTAATTTTAGGAGCATTATGTGCAGATGATCTTTTTTTATCCCTTAACCTTGCTGTTTGGGTGGCAAGACTTTGTAGTACTTTGTGGAAAATTAATGAATGAAGAGAGTTGCAGTCTCTGAATCATCAGCCAGCAGTTCTCTTCTACTGATGTTTTTTAATATAAACCTGAGCAGGGAGGAGGAGTAATCTTTTTCTGTCCTTTGCTAAGGAATATCATCGACAGCAGTTTCCATGGTTAGATGAATACGATATGATAAATGATAATGATCTAGAGATAATAATTCATCTCCACCTTCCTTTTCAAAAGAGTTTTTTACCCAAAAGTATAATTGACTTAGAGGTGTGTGTGCCTGTATTTTTCCTTTTTTCAGTTCAGTTTCTATTCTCTCCTAAGAAAAAACTTGAATTCAAAATAAATTCCTTTGTTTTCTGGAATAATGACAATCATTGAATGATTCTCTTATATTATCCTAAAAAGAGTTCTGCATTAAATAAAATTTTGAGTATGTAACCTATAAAGACCCTTCAAACTCAAAGATTTTATAACTTAGTTGTATTCATTAATGATCAGTGCAGATATTTGCTGGAGTTGCCATTTTTAGGATGAAATTACTACAGTGACATAATTAGACATCGCATCTGGTGCGGTTGCTTGGGGTGATCATTCACCACGTTTCTATAGTCTGGAACTAGTAGAACATATCCTCTTTTTCATTATCTTCTTCATTTTCCTGTTCTCCCTGGGAGCCTGGCTTTTGACTTTCAACTTCATAGGCATAGTTCCAGGCCAGAGAAGTATTTGACTTTTTGTCACCTGGGAAAATACAGCTCACCTCTTAGGCACCTGTCTTCCATCACTGCCTCAGCAGCTAAGCTCCTTTCCTATTCAGGGTGTCTCCTTGGGGTTTTTTTCACCCCTTTAGATGTCCTTCTCAAAGTTAACTGTTAAAACAGATTATTTCTCATACCTTTGACATCTTGTCATCTTCCACTGAAAACTAATTTGCAGCTTTTACCTAATTATTAACACTAAATAAATAGTTTTATTGCTGTCATTATTGTTACTACACATATAATTTTAGTTGCTGTTTTAAGATTTGTGGGAAATGTAAACATGCCTTTTCCCCCTCCTTTGTTTTGCGTATTCAGGATCACAAACTCTGTATCACTGGCAGCAGCTTGCTCAGCCAAACTTGGGAACCATCCTTGATCCACGACCAGGTGTCATTACTAAAGGCTTTACCCAGTTGCCCAGGGATACCATTTATCACATCTCAGATTTAGAAGAGGATGAAGAGGAGGGTATTACTTTTCAGGTTCAGCAACCTCTTCAAGTGGAAGAGAAACTGTCAACATCCAAGCCAGTAACGGGGATCTTCCTACCACCCATTACTTCAGCAGGTGGACCAGTTACAGGTGAGAAGAGTGTCTGGTCAAATGTGGTATAGTAACCAGAAGTACTTTGCATTCTGACTTATTAGATAGTCAGCTGGCTAATTCTGCTCACTGGAGGGTGCTCAATCTTGGATATCAGATAATGAAAATCTATAGCATTAGTGGCATTCCTAATCCCCTCCACTTTATCTTAGCCAGCCTGCATTAGTAGATTAGGTAGAGAGCTGGATGAATTCAGGTCAGTGGTTCACAAACCTTTTGGGCTCAGGAACTCTTTACACTCTTAAAAATCACTGAGAATTCCAGAGAGCCTATCTGTGTAGGTTATATCTATTGACATTTAATATATCATAAATCAAAACTGAGAAACTATAAAAATGTGTATTAACTCATTTGAAATAATTGTACACAAATATGTTTTATGAAAAATAGCTATTTTTTTCATAGTGAGAAAAACAGTTGTGCAAGTCTCTCATTTTTGACTTAATACAAAATAGCTTTATTCTCATTATCAGCGTCTACCTTCAGTCTGTTGCAATATGTTGTTTCAGTTGAACAATATGAAGGCAATGCAGCCAGGCACAAACATGCAGTTGGAAAAGGAAAGAGTGTTTTAATAGTCTTTTCAGGTATTTGTAGCTATTTTTTGACATTACACTAAAACTAGGTAAGTAGTAGTTTCTTGAACATTTGTAGCAATGTGAGATCTGAAACCCTAACAATTAACTTTTCATTACTTTGTTAACGTTAAAATGCATTGGTCAGGCTGGTAGCTCACACCTGTAATCCCAGCACTTTGGGAGACCGAGGTGGGCAATCACCTGAGGTCAGGAGTTTGAGACCAGCCTGGCCAACATGGTGAAACCCTGTCTCTACCAACAAAAAATTAAAATTAAAATTAAATAAAATGCAATGGTCATATCCTACATTTTGAATATATCTTTCACCCATGCTTGATTTTTAACATCATGCATTGATCATTTAGAAAATGTTGATTGGTTCATGGAGTTATGCAGATTTTCCAAATGTTGGCACATTTTATTACATACAAATATTAAAATCATATTAATATCACCACCTATCTCATCAGAAAAGTCTTTAAGGATGTTCATGCTTTCAGTGGTAGATACAAGTTTTCTAAAACTAACTTTTTCTTGAAAGCTCACGTTTTGTTAGCTGTTTTTCCTGAAGGGACAGGCTCACTTCATTCATTTTTAACATGTCTCTCTTAACACCCAAGTCTGAATAACTATAGTTTGTCTGTTAGTTCTTTAAAGTAAAAATGGTATTCCATGACAAAATTTCAAATCAGTTGCACAAGTGTTTTCCTCTGGATAACCACTGTGTCTCAGTGTGCAGCAGGAATGCTTAATACATCTTTCCCATTTCATCGCACAGAACAGGAAAGCGACTCAAGGGCCAAGATTCAAAATTGAATAGATAATTTTTACTGCTACTTCAAGGACATTCTTAAGTGAATATGGCTTTTTAAGAAATACCAAGTGCATAACAATTAAGAAGACTAGGACAACTTGGTGATATTGCCTTGATTTGTGCTGAGGAGCTAGGAGTTTTGCCTTCCATTGCTTTTGCACCAGCAGTGCAAATGTAAACCCAGTCACAAAGAAAAGGCCTCTGTCTTAACATTACTGTGAAAGTAGCTTTGACCTGTAGACTCCCACAGTCTTCAGACCATACTTTGAGAACCACCAGAGTAGATAAATTTGACTGAATCACTTGGATAACTAGATCTTGATTTTTTTAATGTATTTTTTCAGTTTTCTTTTCTCATTTCCAAGCTTTGTTTATGCCTTTTGCTTTACAGTTTTAAAGTATTGGATTCACCTATATACTAACCAGTTAATACTAGTACAATCTTTATGTATATTTATTTCATTTCCAGATTTGGGGATTTTTAGTACAAAAGGGACTTGATAAATGCTATATTATTAATAAATAATGATGAGCTTTTTACATTATTAATCTAGTCTTTCAATCTTGTATTTGCTCCCTAAAAATCTATTTCAGTTGCAACCGCCAATCCAGGAAAGTGCCTGTCATGCACAAACTCAACATTCACTTTCACCACCTGTAGAATATTACATCCCTCTGACATCACTCAGGTTACCCCCAGGTAAGAGTGCCTGGGAAATCTGGGGCCTCACTTCTTTCCTCAGCTATATTTTCATGAATTTCTTTTAAAAATTACCTTCATTTTAATTTCTAGAATGTTAATTAATGTTCTGTGATAATGTGTCTTTAGAATATTTTCACATTGCATTTTCTAATTTGATTATTATAAAAGTAGGCAGGGCAAGTGAGTATGTATTGTGTAAAGTAAACTGAGGCATGGAAGGTTGAGGTGACTGGTTCTAGGGCAGGCAACTCATAAATAACCCAGCTGGGGCTATATACCCGGAGTTAGCCAAACTGCAAGATTTACAGGGCCCGTCCTCTGCACAAGCTCACCTTCACTTCTGACAACACCTGCAAGTGCAGAGGGTTCCCAAAACCACTTTCAGGTTCAGTAATTTGCTAGAAGATCTCACAGAACTCACAGCAAGTTGTTATACTTGTGGCTACTGTATTACAAGGGAAGAATACAGGTTAAAATTGTCCAAAGGAAGAAAGGCATAGGGCAGAGTCTTAGAGGATTCTACATGTGTCCTTAGGATTCATTACTCTCCTAGTATTGATATGTGACGGTACACACAGAATATTACCAACCAGGTAAGTTCACCCAAGTATTAGTGTTTACAGTCTGTCTGTATTGAGGCTTTGTTGTGTAGGTATGATTGACTGAACTCAGTTCAACAGAGTTGAACTCAGCCTTCTGGCCAACTGATACTGCATGACTCAAAGGCCCTACCCTAAATCACATGGTTGGTCTTTTTGGCATGGCCATTCCTCACCCTAAGACTGTTGGGTGTGGCCTGGCCCACCCTAAGATTTAGTGTGATCAGCCTCCACTCTAGCCAAAGACACTCCTGTTGTGACATAGATTGCCTCCAAGGAGCGGAGGGCAAAGGCCAGACCTCTCTGGGCAAGGCCAAATTATCTACTACGTAGGCTAAAACTTGAATATTCTAATATGTAGTCCCTTATTAAGCCATATTGATGCCATTTCCATCCTAACAATTCCCAAAAGGGTCTAAGGTGGCTTTTAAAGATATGTAGAACGTGTAACAGTGCAGTTACTGATGTGTTTGTTGCCTGTCCCTTTATATTTACCAAGGATAACTACCATAATTACTTTAAATGCATTAAAGAATAATGTTAACTAGAAGTAGAAAAAAAAGATGTTGCAAAGGGGAATCAAGAGTAAGGATATAAAATGGGTAAAAGAATAAATCTAGTGTGCAAATTGTACCATAAAGTCTTATGTTAGCCATGTTAGCTTGCTAAGGTTAGCCACGTATTTGAGTCTTAACTTTCTAGCTGCAAGTGTGGAGGGAAATAAGATTATGATTCACCATGTCTATAAAATAGAAACAAATGAATTATTTAGGGAAGCATTTGGATGATACCCACTAAAGATCCCAATAAAGTCTGTAACCAAAAAAATCTGCATTTTTTTCTACATTGTTCTTATAGTCATCAAGATAACAAGTTTTACAAAATTGGTTCTTGAGGAGACTCTTAATACAGGTTGATGCCATTATATGAAGTGTACAATTTGGGTAAGGACAGGCAGTTCTAGAGTCTAGTAGAAATAGGGAGATTAGAGACTGGGAATACAATATATAGACTATTCCGGATCAGAGGCTTTTAGTTGGACTGGTTTGACTACGGAGTCAAACTTATTTGAATTTTGCTGCTTCTATACAAGTTGGTGCTTTAGAAAGTTTGTTAATTGTAAGCTTGTGTTTTGTTCATAATCTTTAAAATTTTTGATATCCTGATGTTTAATGTATTGAGTATTTTGTGTTGAAGTGAAAGTTGATCTATTAAATACTGGTAACATTTGTTTTGTGGGGAAATTGGCTAAAGAAGTACCATCTCCATTCCATTACCGTTTCCTTAAGTACATGATTGGTTAGTTTTTCTTTTTGACTAAGCATAAAATAAGAATTTTGTCATTTGATTATTATAAAAGTGGGCAGGGCAACTGAGTATGTATTGTGTAAAGTAAACTGAGGCATGGAAGGTTGAGGTCACTGGTCCTAGGGCAGACAACTAATAAATAACGCAGCTGGGGCTATATACCCGGAGTTAGCCAAACTGCAAGATTTACAGGGCCAGTCCTCTGCACAAGCTTACCTTCACTTCTATATGTTCAGTAGTATTACTGAATACTGAAGTAATGCTGAAGAAGTATTACTGAATAGATGTTGAAGCTATTAGTTATTTTTAATTTCCTAAAAACACATGTTTCAAGTCAAGGTTGAGAAAAATTCATTCTATGGATATTTTTATACTATCATTGTTTGAAATTAACATTTCTTGAGAAAATAAAATTTAACAATTAGAAGTTTATTATTTCGCAATAAAATAAAATTAAAAGATTAAAAAGAAGGAAACTTCTCCCAGAAGAGCATTTCATGTTTAATTTTTTTAAAAGTTGGTAAACTGTTATGGATTATTGTCTCAATGTATCTCACTTTATGGAATGGATGTATAAATATTCTAAAGATTACTTTCCTTAATCTTCAAATTTCTTTGCTTTCTGTCATAAAATTTAATTGTTTTTCTACAGATGTACATTTTAGAGTTAAAATTTAAGAGTAAAGTTATCTAAGAGTACAGCAATACCTTTCATATCCTACTGAAAATATCTTTTAATAAGTTAATTACTAAGTTACAAATTACAAATAATTAATCATTTAAGTATCATGTCAAATTTTCATTTCCCAGATCTGTTCCACAGCATACAGTTACAGATGTGTTTGTTGCCTGTTACTTTATATTTACCAAGGATAACTACTATAATTACTTTAAATGCCAGCTTGGGGCTTGCTTTTTATTCTTAAACACTGTCTCCCACTTACTTTTTTTTTAAGCTCTGGGTTCCCTTCATTATCCTGTGGAAGTAGTGGTAGCAGTTCATCCAACACGGCTGTGAATTCTCCTGCCTTGTCCTATAGACTCAGCATTGGTGAGTCCATCACCAACCGACGAGATTCCACTACAACCTTCAGTAGCACCATGAGCTTGGCCAAACTTCTACAAGAACGAGGCATCTCTGCCAAAGTGTACCACAGCCCAATTTCAGAGAACCCCCTCCAGCCTCTCCCTAAATCTCTGGCTATCCCTTCCACACCACCAAATTCACCATCTCACTCACCTTGCCCTTCTCCTTTGCCCTTTGAGCCTCGAGTGCATCTCTCTGAAAATTTTTTGGCCTCTCGACCAGCTGAGACATTTCTCCAGGAGATGTATGGCTTGAGACCCTCCCGGAACCCTCCTGATGTTGGCCAGTTGAAGATGAATTTAGTGGACAGGCTGAAGAGACTGGGGATAGCCAGAGTGGTCAAGAACCCTGGTGCCCAAGAGAATGGAAGATGCCAGGAGGCAGAAATTGGTCTTCAAAAACCAGATTCTGCTGTTTATTTAAATTCAGGTAGCAGTTTATTAGGTGGACTAAGGAGGAATCAGAGTCTTCCAGTCATAATGGGTAGCTTTGCTGCCCCAGTTTGCACATCCTCACCCAAAATGGGTGTCCTGAAGGAGGACTGAGGTTCAGCAGTTAACTGACCTCTTATACAAATTAGCACATGAGGGATAGATACGCACTGAAACATGTAGTCTGGTCTGACTTGAGAGAAAAGGAATGTTGCACAAGGGTTGTGAATGTGAAAGGGGGAATGGAGGAATGGAAATAAAATTGGGATGAGCCCTAATGGAGGAAGTCGGGCAAATTGAAAGTATAAATGAATGGGCCATGAGTGTTCAGAGGCAGGAAAGAAAGGTTTAATATACTCCTTCAGTTGAGTTTTCTTGTCTTGAAAATAAAAAGTGAATAAAAATAAATTTAGTAATACTAAAACATACAGAGATACTGAACTTCCTGGCACATTTACTTCTGGTAAGCATAAAGCAGAGAGAACCCAGGTTAGAAGGATGGGAAGAGAAAAGGAGTAGCTTTATTGCTTACAGAAAGCCATTCTGAAGGGTTGGTGGGGTAAGCTCAGTCTATTACTGAGACAATAGTGAGATGGCTTATATGTTTCCCCTGTTAATATCTGGTTAAATTATACATCCATCAAATGATATGCTCGCAGCATTAGCAAAATTAGGAGTTTCATCTTTTTCATTGAATCATAGGTGGAGACTCCTGTTTTCCTTTCTGTTTTCAGGCCTTTGAGCCCCTGGGAGCCCAAATACCACTCAATTATTTTGTATTTATGATTAAAAAAAGTTCATTTTTTAAATTTGTATTTTTATACAACCTCCAAAAAAAAAAAAAACTGGGTAGTGCATGGGAGGGATTTACTTTTAAGAAGCAAAATGTGAGTAAATTGGAACCAAGAAAACTTGTTTTTAGAATATTTCTTCTGAATAAGTGCAGTAGCCAAGGAATACAAACGTAATTGCATGTTTTTAAAAATTCCTTGGAGGCTGGAAGGGGTTAAGCCAGAAGTGCAATCAATAGGAATTAGGGAATGTTTTATATTTATATATGTAAAATTTTTTGTGAGAAAAGTTGGTTGCAACTAAACCAACTTTTTCCAAAGTGCGCTATGCATATTTTTAATGAAAGATGACATGTATTTGCACAAAAATTCTCAGGCACATTAAATTATTATAAACTGAAGTAAAACCCAGGTGCTTGCTTTGAGATTGTGGTTTTTTTTCCCTAATGTCAAATAAAATAAAACACATCTGCCTTCTTGATATTTATAGAATTAGAGAATAAACTTTTTAATGGGGGAGTCAAAGCTTTTTCTTTTTCTCTAAGGTTCTTTTTTTTTTTTTTAATTCAAACTGTATGAAATGGCAAAGTGAGGCTCTGGGGTTAGGTTTCAGCATTCAGCAGTTGACACAGGCTAAGAAATGGAAAGAAGTAGATCTGTTTTTTTTCAATGTTGCTGAGCAAAGTCTGCTTCTCATCAGATGACGTGGCTTTGTCTAGACAACACGCTGCTCAGAAAGAAATGTCTTTATACAAAAGACATGATAGAGAAAAGATGAGACAGTGGACTAATTATTTTGTTTATGAAAATGGCAAGTAAATTACTTAATCTTTTTGGTGCTTAATTTGCAAATGTTTTGTTCCTTTGTCCTGACTTAAAGGCTATTTTCTGAAGAACTCTTGACTCTTGCTCCTGTGGTTCCCGTAGGCACACCTATTCCCAGGCCAAGGAGAGTCCTTCCTCTCCCCTTTTGAGGCATCCCCGCCACCCCCCCACTTAGAGCTATGTGCTCAAAAAAGCCAACATGAATGCAGTGGTAAAAATGTGTTCGTTTCTTATACTTTTTAGAATCTCTTAATAAAATTTTTCTAAATAAATTCTGCAAAAACAAAGGATGAAGATGGTCTCTCCCTTTCGTTCCCCTTCACTCAGTTGTGCTGAGGTCAATAGAGCGTACACATTCAGAAAGGATTCCAGCAGGTTTATATGTGAATATAAGTGTCCCTGAATGGGGCAGGCATTAAATAGAAGAATCCCTGCTGTTTAAATTTCCCACATATTCCAATTCACTTTTTAAAAATACCATTTGAATTTGTGTTTCATAGAGTGACTCTGGGGTGCTTACTTTAGCCAATTCTTAAAATTTTTTATTTGTTCCCTAAGAAAGTAATTAGTGTTTCTGTTGCCTGAACAGTTACAGTTTCCAAGAAACATCAGGAAGTAGGAAACTGTAGGGCCAGAGAGTAGTACAAAGTTAAATTGTCCGATTTATGTGTATTACATAAAGCTATAAATTGAACTAGATTTTGCCGTGCTCTGTACTGAGTATAGTTTGTATACTTTTTTATAATTAATGACTAAATGATCATTTTGAAGGCAGGGTGGTGGGGGTGTGTTAGCAGCCAAATAAGGACATCTGATTAAAAAGAACCAGACTTAGATTTTTTTAAAGTACGCTGATGTTGATGTTCCACCAGAAACACCTTAATTGTATACTGATGTGTAATGTCTCTAGAAATGAATCCTGTCTTAAAACTGGGTTTTGCTGTTTTTTGAAGTTTCTACCTAAAATCATTTTTGCTATATCCTGATAATCTCTATAATACTAGCATTTTCTGCAAAATATAGTAAGAAGAATTGGAGCCTAATAGCTGGTTCCTCCCAATTTATCTGTTATGTTTTGGTACTATTCACATTTTAGTTTTTTCTGTGATAAAAATTGTATGTATACTTTCATGCCAGTATAGGAAACCTCAATCTTCTTTTTTTTTTTTTTTCCTTTAAGAAGGTTTTCAGTGATTATACCTCAGGTATTTCTGAGTGTCCTATTATCTAGTAGGAAAAGTATCTTCCTGAGCTCAGAATTTAAAGTTCTCCTAAATTATGAAGATCCCAAATCTTATGTAAATAACCTTAGGCATGAGTCCTTAGGGAGAAGTTAATGACCGTTGTTAAAGTACTTTTTTAGAAAATTTTGTGGTGTATGTTCTTGATTTGACATAAATGGATAGACTTTGGCAAGAGAGGAAATAAGTTACAAGGCAGCTTACAAGAGCCTGTTCTCGATAAAAGGTATAATTTTACACAGTACTCAAAGCTTGTTATCTTTTCTGACCATTTTAGTACAGAATTAGTACTTGGTGGTTACTAACATCGACTTGCGACATCTCGAACTGGGGCTGTTAGTGTTGAGTGGGCCACTTCTCTGATGTCAGATGCATGCAGACCTGTACTCCACATGCAGCCCAACAGCAGCGCAGTGTGATAACCGAGTGGTGGCATGGCAGAGCACATCCCCCGCAGAGTGGGCAACTAGGGCAGCCAGGGGAATACTATTGTTCGATACCTGGGATTTGACTTTGTCAGACAGCTCTTTGTGCACCTATCTTTGTTTTGTCAAATGTAAATCAGTTAATAAACATGAGTAGCTTAAATTTTCATTTGTCTCCCTGTGTTTTTGTCCCAGCTGTTTGCACAGGTAATCCTGTACTAAATCTTTCTTTTGTGTTATGTTTTTGGTTAGAAAACAACCTCTACTTGTCAAACCAACACATACACAAGAAACCACTAATAGTAATAATAAACAGATCTTAATGTATTTTCCTAGATTTTTTAAAAATAGAATAGACAGTATCTATGTATACCATAATACTTCCTTAGCAAAAGTAACAGCAACATAAAAATAAAATCTAAAGTCATTGATATGCAGATACCAAGTTTGAGAAGATTCAGGAAGTGTGAAGCAGTTCTTTTCCTGTAGCCTACAGTTTTCTGTTGACGCTCTTAGCTATTTAAAAATTGTTTCCAAGAAACTAAATTTGACACTAACAGAAAAGGTCTTTTGATACTCAATCTCCTTCACAATTTAATTTCTGTTTTTTTTTTTTTTTAATAATTTCCATTTTTGTTTTAGATTCCAGGGTACATGTGCAGGTTTGTTACCTGGATATATTTCATGAAGCTGAGGCTTAGAGTATGATTGATCCTGTTACCCAGATACAGAGTATAGCATCCAATACGTAGTTTTTCAACCCTTTCCCTGCTCCTTCCCTGCTGTAATAGTCCGCAGTTTCTATTGTTGCCATCTTTGTGTCCTTGAGTAGCCAGTGTTTACCTCCCACTTGTAAGTGAGAACATGCAGTATTTGGTTTTCTGTTTCTGTGTTAATTTGCTTGGGATAATGGCCTCTACTTACATGCATGTTGCCATGAAGACATGATTTCAGGGATTTTTATGGCTGCATACTCTTACATGGTGTATATACACCACATTTTCCTTATCCAGTCCACCGTTGATGAACACTTAGGTTGATTCCATGTCTTTGCTATTGTGAATTATGCTGCGATGAACATGAACGCATGTATCTTTTTGTAGAATGATTTATTTTCTTTTGGATATATACCCAATAGTGGAATTACTGGGTTGAATGGTAGTTCTGTTTTAATTTCTTCAAGAAATCTCCAAACTGCCTTCCAAAGTGGCTGAGCTAATTTACATTCCCACCAACAGTGTATGAGCATTCCCTTTTCTCCACAGCCTCGCTAGTATCTGTTTTTTGTTTGTTTTGAGACAGAGTCTCGCTCTGCCACCCAGGCTTGAGTGCAGTTGTGCCATCATGGCTCACTGCAATCTCAACCTCCTGGGGTCAATTGATCCTCCCACCTCAACTTCCCAAGTAGCTGGAACTACCGGCATGTGCCACAACGTCCAGTTAATTTTTGTATTTTTTGCAGAGATAGGGACTCACCATGCTGCCCAGGCTAGTCTCAAATTCATGAACTCAAGCGATTCTCCCACATTGGCCTCTGAAAGTGCTGGGATTACAGACATGAGCCACTGCACCTGGCACATATTTTATTATTATTATTATACCTCTTTTTTTCAAGTCTAGCTAATGCTTATTCTGTCTCTAATTCCTAAGAAGAATAGTTAACAGATAGATAAGAAGTTATGATTAATGCATATTTTTAACCAGTAATAACAGATCTCTTCATCATCATTTTTACATCTTATTTTTTATTTTTTTTTTATTATACTTTAAGGTCTAGAGTACATGTGCACAAAGTGCAGGTTTGTTACATATGTATACATGTGCCATGTTGGTGTGCTGCACCCATTAACTCGTCATTTACATTAGGTATTTCTCCTAATGCTATCTCTCCCCCTCCCCCTACCCCACAACAGGCCCCGGTGTGTGATGCTCCCCTTCCTGTGTCCAAGTGATCTCATTGTTCAGTTCCCACCTATGAGTGAGAACATGCAGTATTTGGTTTTCTGTTCTTGTGATAGTTTGCTGAGAATGATGGTTCCAGCTGCATCCATGTCCCTACAAAAGATAAGAGCTCATCCTTTTTTATGGCTGCATAGTATTCCATGGTGTATATGTGCCACATTTTCTTAATCCAGTCTGTCATTGATGGACATTTGGGTTGGTTCCAAGTCTTTGCTATCGTGAATAGTGCCGCAGTACACATACGTGTGCATGTGTCTATATAGCAGCATGATTTATAATCCTTTGGGTATATACCCAGTAATGGGATGGCTGGGTCAAATGGTATCTCTACTTCTAGATCCTCGAGGAATCACCACACTGTTTTCCACAATGGTTGAACTAGTTTACAGTCCCACCAACAGTGTAAAAGTTTTCCTATTTCTCCACATCCTCTCCACCTGTTGCTTCCTGACTTTTTAATGATCGCCATTCTGACTAGTGTGAGATGGTATCTCATTGTGGTTTTGATTTGCATTTCTGTCAGGTAGCATAATGCTCCAGCCTTCTATCGTCTTTTGGCTTAGGATTGTCTCTGGCAATGTCGGCTCTTTTTTGTGTTGCCAATATGAACTTTAAGTAGTTTCTTTCCAATTCTGTGAGAAAGTCATTGGTAAGCCTTAATGGGGATGGAATTGAATATATATAATTACCTTGCGCAATATGGCCCATTTGTGCACTATATTGATTTTTTCCTATCCATGAGCATGGAACTATCATTTCCATTTGTTTATTCCTCTTTTATTTCAATTGAGCAGTGGTTGTGTAGTTCTCCTTGAATGAGGTTCTTCACATCCCTTGTAGTTTGGATTCCTAGGTATTTTATTCTCTTTTGAAATGCAATTGTGAATGGGAAGTTGCACTCATGATTTGGCTTCTGTTCCTGTTATTGGGCTGTATAGAATGCTTGTGATTTTTGCACATGATTTTAGTGCTGAGACCTTTGCCGAAGTTGCTTATCAGCTTAAGGGAGATTTGGGGCCTGAGAACCTGAATGGGGTTTTCCTAAATAGACAATCATCGTCATCTCAAAACACGGGACAGCTGACTTTCCTCTTTTCCTAATTAATACCCCTTTATTCTTTCACCTGCCTGATTGGCCTGGGCCAGAATAATTGTCAAACAACTATGCGTTGAATAGGAAATGGTGCAGAGAGGGCATCTTCCTTTTCTTTGG